ACCTTCGGAGCTTCTATGACAATGGAGGAGATGCACAACAGGCGGCACTGGTATGAAGTATTCATGGTGAAGCAAGGATGTTCATTTATGAAATGAAGAGCGGCAGGCAGAAGCAGAATGTGGATGGTAAATAGATCACATCCCCCCACTGTATCGCTAACCCCGAAGGAGCCACCTAGTAATTTGGGTTCTCTGTTCTGGGCCTCGACTCCAAGAACACCCTCAGCCCCTCTGGCACACGTGGTTGAATGAAAGGTACTACAAGCACTCTTCAGAACACGAGTATATATTACCTTTAACTTGGCTGTGCATCAACACCACAAAATAGACACGTTTAATAGAAAATGAACTCAATGTATTGGTATGGGTGGTCTGAGCATAAATGAAGACAGTATGATCATACCGCCAGCAGCTGTGGACTGACCTTTTTTTTTTTTTAAAGTCCGCGAACGTGCGAAAAAACGAAAAACCCGTAAGTGTTCACACAAAAACCGTGCAAGTGCAGAACACCACACGAAAAATGCACTTAGGGGTGTGCTTTGTCCTCCTGGGCCACAACTGCCTGTGGGCACCACAGTATTTGTTCCAGCTGGTACTAGCCTTCAGGGCCCCCATCATTCCAGCAGGGGTACTATACAGCCAACCATCCTCTCCAAGAAGCATGAAAGACAGTAGAGCACCCCTACTGGACACTGATAAGAACAGATACTACACTTGATCCTTAGCCGAAAAGCAAGAATTGGCACCAATTGTTACCTATAGACAAACCTAGACACACGTACACGCTTTTTTTTTTTTAAGTCCGCGAACGTGCGAAAAAACGAAAAACCCGGAAGTGTCCAAAAAAGCGTGCAAGTGCAAAAACACAAACACAAAAAAGTGCACTTTGGGGTGTGCTTTGTCCTTCCCCCGAAGGGGATGGACCTCTACCCTGATCCCCCGAGGCACGACGAAGCTCCTGACAGGGACAAGGTTCCCATGTGGTCCGCCTAGCCAAAAGGCCTGGCGGACCCCGTTCCTTGTGGCCATACGAAGCCAGCCACCAAGTACTTAGTAAGGGGGCTCTCCCGAAGAGAAAACCCCCTAGAGACAGGGGAGGAAGGAACCAAAAGGCCACACATCCTCCCCCTAGACTTCAGGGTAGGCCCGAGGACCCACACCCTACCATCCGTGAGAAAGAAAACACACAAAAAGTGAAAAGTGACAAACGTGGGAGATAAAATAAATTAAATAAATAAGTGGCCGTGCAGCAGATTGTGCACTGGCCAGGCCCTGAGGCCCGTAGCAAAAATTGCCCAGGACTTAGCCAAAAGGCCCGGTCCTAAAAGGCGCAGTGCAGAAAAAGTTTTGAAACAGTGACCATGTGCCTTTTCACACGTTGGGGTCCCACACCCAAGCGTTACTACTAAGCACCCCTGAGGTGGGGTGGACTGACCATTCGGGCACTTGGGCACTGCCCAAGGGCCCGAGGTTAGTAGGGGGCCCCATGAGGTGCCCCTGGTATCTTTAATAGGCTTTTTTTTGTGTGGTTTGAGTGTGGGCGAGGACACAGGGGGCCCATGATTTCCTATTGCCTGGGGGCCCCATGAGTTGTCAGTCTGCCCCTGACTGCCAGACAGTATGATCACTATGCCCAGGTAATTTAGAATAGAGTTCTGTACTACTAGACTGAGATTAACAAATCAATCAGCAAAGTCAGCATTAAGCAGTGCATAAAAGCAACTGCAATGTGAACAATAATAGTTTGTCAGGAATGGACTTGCCAATAGTGGTGGGACTCACCTGCCTTGTGGGCTGCAGTACCAGGGCTGGCCAGTGGGTGCTCTCTCAACAACCAGAGGTTCACTTCGGCAATTAGCCATCACCTGGGGCTGATTACAGGTGGTGTATTTAAGGGATGGCCAGACCTGCAGTCTGTGCCTTGGTGTGTGTTTTTTCCATGGGCCCCTGTACCTTGTAACCTGCATTCCTGTTCCTGTTTCTGCCTGACTTGTTGCCGACCCTGCCTGATCCTGACCTCTGCTGACTTCTGTTTGATCCCTCGCTTGTGACCCTGACCATTCTCTGCCTGACCCCCTGTACTACCTGTCCGTTAGTTGCTGTACCCAGCTCGTGACCTGACTACTCTCCGCCTGCTCCTCCTGTACCTACCTGCCCGATAGTTATCGACCCGGCCTGCCTGACTACGTTGTGCTCTATATGTGTATGTACCTGTGTATCTATATCAGTTTAGGTTTGGGTTTGTTTCACCTTGTTGTATGTATTTGTGTTAGCTTGGGGTTTGGTGCACTGCATTTATATTTGTATTGTTAGTCTTAATAAATTGTCTTATTTATACCATATCTGAAGTCTGCGTTTCCCTGTGTCAGTACACACACCTCTGGTCATACCCGCATCCCTGACATAGCTGCTCTCCGGGACAATAGCTAGGATATGGTACAATGTTCCCTGAGAGGTACCTCTTAGCACAGTAGGAAGACGTCTTTGCGTAGCAGCTGTAAGACTCTTTAGTCCTAACTCCTCAGCCGGCTAGCACTGGGGCCCAGTTGTACAGTTGGTGCACATGAGAATAGTCCCAGCCAAGCCTGGGGGGGGGGCAGCAATAAAGCTGCTAGATGACTGTATGGTCAATTCCTAATGGGCTCAGCCTTTCTCTTTAGCAGCAGATAATAAACACAGCAGCAGCTCACGAACCTAGCGATCCAGTAACACAGCAATTAGTCCACACTCTGCTCTCCACCCAGGTGACTCTGGCTGTCAATACCCCTGGACTTAGTACTCAGGATCTCTCTAAGGCCACTGTTAAGCAGCAGTGATGGTGCACACTGGGCAGCGATTTACACTCTCTGGGATCCCTAAAGGCAAGAGGAAGCTGTGTCCTGTATAGCTTGAGAAAATGCAGCTTCGTCCCTTCCTCCCAGCAATCTTCCTCTGGGAAATGTAGTTCAGAAGCTCTTGATTACACAGTTGATTCTCCGTGCTCTGGACTACAGTTCCCACAGTGCACTGCTGCCTGAGTCTATTGAACTCTTCCTGCTCAGCAGCGCTCTCCTCTGGCTGATATAGCTGTTACTGATTCAGCGCCGCAGGGCAGCAGCTACAGAGAGCAGCTACAGCCAGTGTTTTTCTCATTCTCATTCTTAGCCAAGAACCTGGCTGAGTCACCTCTGAGGGAAACAGACATGTGGCTGGTTTGTTGCCCTGAACTCGAAGCACACGGCATAAAGACGTGTTTAAGTGCTTCCAGCGTTAGCCCTGGTTCACACCTATGCGGCCGTGCGGGCTGTGTTTTGCTCGGGCACAAGAGCCCATTCATTTGCATGGATGCCCGTGCCCCGTGACACACAGGGAAGAAGTCCCTGCACTTTTTCTGAAAACGCAGCCCGCGTTCCCAGTACGGTTGCGTATTCCAGTGCGGGCGGCGTGCCATTAGAATTTTTTTTTTATTCCATAAAAGTTTGTTGAGAAGTGACAACATGTTACAGAAAGTGCCATTAGAATTAATGGCACCTGCCCGTGGGTCCGCATTCCTCTATGCAAGTGGTGCGGCTGCACGGATTCTCGTGTGGATCCGCAGCGGCACCACCTGCACATATGTGAACCTAGCCTTAATGCATGTTAGTGGCCAGAATACATGGTGTTTTGCCATTCAGAGGGGTGCATCTCATCACATTTGATCTGATCACATTTCATTTAAATCTAAAAAAAAAAATCTAATTTCCTTTTCTAAAAATGTTTTTAAAAATTAATTTTTTTTTTTAATTTTCCCATACAAACACCCTGCAAAGGGGAGGAGCTGAATGATTGTATGACTAATCGCAGTCACCCCGCTATGACATCACATGGCAATGTCTGAAGTCGCCAACTCAGCGCAATCACTAATCAGTGCAGAGCCGGTCTAATGTGAGTCACTCAGTGGACTTGTTTGTTTCTATATTGTCATTGACATCTCAGTGCAGCCAATCATCAATCACTAATCCAGAGATGTTGTTAGATGTACGGATAAAGCCCTCAGCGCTCAATAATTAACCCTTCACTGCCTCTTTATATAAATATCTGTGAAGGCTTTTAGATGTATTCTTTCACCTCACCCTCACCCTAAATATATGGGAGCCAGTTCATGCAGAATGCAGGTTTACATGTTATCACTCACCATAGCTGGGTTTACATTATTTCTGTATGTATGTTGGCAGCTCAAAGTATCTTTTCTTTCTGTTTACCCGAAGGAGGCTAGTAGGAAACAGGTCACTGATCCCGCTGTTAATTTTCACACACTAGCAGTAAATCATGGGCATCAGGCCAGGGGTCTACCAGGTCCAGGGGCGTCCCTAGGTAGGTGGGGGGGGGGGGTGCGCGCTGCACTGGGTAACACCTATCGCACAGGGTGACACCGGACCCACTCCACGAAAAGGTAAGTTTTAAAGCAAGCCCACAATCCCCGCGGGATGGATCCGATGTGTGGATTGAGCATAATGGAACAGAGCCTGATCCATTTTCCTCCCAAATCCGCAGATCCGATCCATCCTGCGGGGATCATCGGCCTGCTTTAAAACTTACCTTTTCGTGGAGTGATCAGTTAACCCCGTATAGGTTGTATGCCGACGATCCCCACAGAATGGATCAGAGCTGCGGATTGGGGAGGATAATGGATCGAACTCCGATCCATTATGATCAATCCGCAGATCCGATCCATTCTGTGGGGATCGTCGGAGGGGGTGTCATCAAGTGTTACCGCACCGGGTGACATCAACTCTAGGGACGCCCCTGACCAAGTCTACCCACTATTACAGCCACACTGACAGTGTACCTGACTCCCACCTCTTTAGTCCTCCTGCACGTGGGACGTTTTTACAGCGGCTGTTTTTGGCTTTTGATGTTTTTTTCTACAGCCAGTAAACCCCCCAGCATGTTATCCTATGTGTGTCCATCCCCAGCATGTTCTCCTGTGTGTGTCCATCCCCGACATGTTCTCCTGTGTGTGTCCATCCCCAGCATGTTCTCCTATGTGTCCATATCCAGCATGTTCTCCTATGTGTCCATCCCCGGCATGTTCTCCTATGTGTCCATCCCCAGCATGTTCTCCTATGTGTCCATCCCCAGCATGTTCTCCTATGTGTCCATCCCCAGCATGTTATCCTGTGTGTCCATCCCCAGCATGTACTCCTGTGTGTCCATCCCCGGCATGTTATCCTGTGTGTGTCCATCCCCAGCATGTTCTCCTATGTGTCCATCCCCGGCATGTTATCCTATATGTGTCCATCCCCGGCATGTTATCCTATGTGTCCATCCCCGGCATGTTATCCTATATGTGTCCATCCCCGGCATGTTATCCTGTGTGTCCATCCCCGACATGTTCTCCTATGTGTCCATCCCCGGCATGTTCTCCTATGTGTCCATCCCCGGCATGTTACCCTATGTGTCCGTCCCCGGCATGTTATCCTATGTGTCCATCCCCGGCATGTTATCCTATATGTGTCCATCCCCGGCATGTTATCCTATATGTGTCCATCCCCGGCATGTTATCCTATATGTCCATCCCGGCATGTTATCCTATATGTGTCCATCCCCGGCATGTTTTCCTACGTGTCCATCCCCGGCATGTTTTCCTACGTGTCCATCCCCGGCATGTTATCCTATGTGTCCATCCCCGGCATGTTATCCTATATGTGTCCATCCCCGGCATGTTATCCTATATGTGTCCATCCCCGGCATGTTATCCTACGTGTCCATCCCCGGCATGTTATCCTACGTGTCCATCCCCGGCATGTTATCCTATATGTGTCCATCCCCGGCATGTTATCCTATATGTGTCCATCCCCGCCATGTTATCCTATATGTGTCCATCCCCGGCATGTTATCCTACGTGTCCATCCCCGGCATGTTATCCTACGTGTCCATCCCCGGCATGTTATCCTATGTGTCCATCCCCGGCATGTTCTCCTTGGTGTCCATCCCCGGCATGTTATCCTATGTGTCCATCCCCGGCATGTTTTCCTACGTGTCCATCCCCGGCATGTTATCCTACGTGTCCATCCCCGGCATGTTATCCTACGTGTCCATCCCCGGCATGTTATCCTACGTGTCCATCCCCGGCATGTTATCCTATATGTGTCCATCCCCGGCATGTTATCCTATATGTGTCCATCCCCGGCATGTTATCCTATATGTGTCCATCCCCGGCATGTTATCCTATGTGTCCATCCCCGGCATGTTATCCTATGTGTCCATCCCCGGCATGTTATCCTATGTGTCCATCCCCGGCATGTTATCCTATGTGTCCATCCCCGGCATGTTCTCCTATGTGTCCATCCCTGGCATGTTATCCTATGTGTCCATCCCCGGCATGTTATCCTGTGTGTGTCCATCCCCGGCATGTTATCCTATGTGTCCATCCCCGGCATGTTCTCCTATGTGTCCATCCCCGGCATGTTCTCCTATGTGTCCATCCCCGGCATGTTCTCCTATGTGTCCATCCCCGGCATGTTATCCTATGTGTCCATCCCCGGCATGTTATCCTATGTGTCCATCCCCGGCATGTTATCCTATGTGTACATTGACTGTAATCAATGTTTTTTGGCTGGAAAAAAAACCCCAGAACTAGTTGGTTTTAGGAATTTTTCTGCTGTAAAAACACTCTAGTGCTGAAAAACACGGACAAACACGCTAAAACGCGTGTACCAAAAGTCCTCATGCACACGGGACGTTTTGATAACGCTGGTAACGTTAGCTGTGTAAAGTCACATTAAAAACTTGAGCTTTTCAGCTTTCTTTTAGCATTTTTGCATTGACGTTTAGCTGCGTTTTGCCACGTTTAGCAGCATTTTTCCGTGTTTGCGTTTTTTTTTTGTAAAGAAAAATCCCAAATGCCGGTCTGCGGGGTTTTACCGCATTTTGCCACATCTTTAAGCGTTAGAGCATTTTTACAGCTAAAAAAACTCTAGAAACTCACTAATCCTGTGATTTTTTTTTCCCAGCCAAAAAACATTGATTCCAGTCTATGTGTGTATGGTCACATAGGATAACATGCTGGGGGGTTTACTGGCTGTAGAAAAAAAGCCAAAAACAGCCGCTGTAAAAATGTCAAGTGTGCATGAGGACAAAAAAAAATTTGGCTGGAAAAAAATCCCAGGACTAGTGAGTTTCTAGAGGAGATTCTTTAGCTGTAAAAATGCTCTAAAGCTGAAAAAAAACGCGTCAAAATGCAGTAAAACTGGTGTTTTTGGACTTTTTTTTTGTCCCGTGTGCATGAGGACTTACTGTTCCAGTGACACCAAGACCAAGTTCACACTATGCGGTCCAGGACACCACATGTAATTTGCACAGGAATAACACCACATTTCTGTGTGAATTACATGCAAATGTCTGTGCGGTGCAATTTGAGCCAAACACTTTGGCTCGCATCGCATCCGCACCAAAAAAGGGGCAGAACTCTTTTTTATATTCACACCTGAATTTCATCGCACGGGTGTTTTCTGGCAATTGCATTGCGTTTTGCCCCGGGCAATAGGAAATCATGGGGCCCCTGTGTCCTTTCCCACACTCAAATCACACCCAAAAAAGCCTATGAAAGGTACCAGGAGCATCTCATTGGGCCCCCTACTGACCCGGGCCCTCGGCAGCGCCCGGGTCCCCAAATGGTCAGTCCGCCCCTGTCAGAGTGTCATTACTTTATCATTGACACACGCACCAGATCACAAGAACAACTGGCAATTGCAATGTGGTGCGGGAAACGCACAGGGTCCGCAGCATTTCCCGCACAAATTTGCATATTTTCCCATATATTACTTCCAGGCCCCAACTACCCATGGGCACCACAGTTTCTGTTCCAGCTGGTACTAGCCTTCAGACCCCCCATCATTCCAGCAGGGGTACTATACAACCAACCTCACCAAGAAGCAGGAATGATGGTGGAGCACCCTTTCTGGACACTGATAAGAACAGATACTACACTTGATCTGAGCCAAAAGGCTGAGAAGCAAGAATTAGCACCAGTTGTTATGGTCAGGCCCAGGCACAAGCACACTGCTTTTTTTTTTAAGTCCGCGAACGTGCGAAAAACCCGTAAGTGTACAAAAAAAAACGTGCCAGTGCAAAACCAACACAAAAAAATGCACTTAGGGGTGTGCTTTGTCCTTCCCCCGAGGGGGTTGGATCTCCACCCTGATCCCCCGGGGCACGAAGCTGCTGACAGGGACAAGGTTCCCATGTGGTCCGCCTAGCCAAAAGGCCTGGAGGACCCCATTCCTTGTGGCCAGCCAAAGCCAGCCACCAAGTACTTGGTAAGGGGGCTCTCCCGAAGAGAAAACCCCCTAGGGACAGGGGAGGAAGGAACCAAAAGGCCACACATCCTCCCCCTAGACTTCAGGGTAGACCTGAGGACCCACACCCTACAATCCATGAGAAGAAAACACACACAAAAGTGAAAAGGGACAAACGTGAGGAGAAAAATAAATAAATAAATAAGTGGCCGTGCAGATTGTGCACTGGCCAGGCCCTGAGGCCCGTAGCAAAAAAATTGCCCAGGACTTAGCCAAAAGGCCCGGTCCTAAAGGCACAGTGCAGGAAAAGTGTTTGAAACAGTGACCATGTGCCGTTTCACACATTGGGGTCCCACACCCAAGAGTAGAGGTCCATCCCCTTCGGGGGAAGGACAAAGCACACCCCAAAGTGCACTTTTTTGTGTTTGTGTTTTTGCACTTGCACGTTTTTTTTGTACACTTACGGGTTTTTTCGTTTTTTTCGCACGTTCGCGGACTTAAAAAAAAAAAAACAAATAAAATTTGTTGTTACTAGTAATAACTTTTACATAAACCAATTCATTTACACGTATTGGGATTTTTTTTTAGACATGTCGCAGAATACATTTTGGCCTAAATTTATGATTTTTAAATTTTTTTTTACCGGATGTGTTTAATGGCAAAAAGTCAAAAATATTGTTTTAAAAAAAAAAAAAAAATTAGTCGGAATTTTTCTTTTTTAAATCACAAAAAATAAAAAACGCACAGGGGATAAAAGACCACCGAAAGAAAGCTCAATTCGTAGGAAAAAAGAGGATGTACATTTCATTTGGGTGCAGCGGTGAAATTGTCAGTTTAGTGGCAATTGGCAGCGCCGTAACGGCCTGGTCGGGAAGGGGGGGAAATCCTCTGGAGGGCGAGCGGTTACACTTCTACAGAAAAGTTTTGGGGAACGTGGCGGCTGGCTGAGGGACCAAGAAAAGCTCCGCCGTCATATATTTTCCATCAGCACTTTATAGAAAAATTTAAAAAAAAAATAATGTTGCTTTCCCGCAGCTTGTGCTGGAGCTCATCAGCCGTAAGATGGTATCATTTTCCACATAATCTTAGTTGAAGTGCGGCGTGCACACCGGTGCTCCATGAAAAGGCGCTGGAGAGGCGTCACACTGACAGGAAGGAACAGAACGGCGTCTTGTCTGCCAATTACCGGCGACACGCACAATATCACTTGTGAGTCATTACAGATGTACTTTTTAAGGGCTGGAATTAGGCGCCTCTCCTGGAAGGAAGCGAACACTTCGGAAGACGTTTGCTTTCATATCGCATCTTTTCACCGCCGACTCGCACTTACGGTTGGCAGGCGGCTCGTCGCTAATTGGGGTCTCTTGACGAGTCATTTAAATGATACACTTCAAATATCTCCGCGGCCGTTTTTTTTTTTTTTTCCGTCTGTCTCAAGAGGCTCCAATTCTTCTCTCTTGACGGATCAAGTTCTAGATGTAAAGCCAATTACTAAAATCTCAAGTTGGAACACGATGATGTCATTTCAAAAGTCATGTTTAGTCTTTTTAAATCTGCAGCTTTCGTTAAAAGAATCCCTGGTGATCCTGCCATGGAGGCCCTTTTCTGACAATTCCTGATATATTATTATAATACAGGATTTATATGGCGCCAACAGTTTGCTCAGCGCTTTACAATATAAAGGGAGACAATACAGCAATAATACAGTTCAATACAAGAGGGATAGGAGGGCCTGATCCTGGGAGCTTACAATCTAGGAGGGAGGGGTTAGTGGTACAAAAGGTAATAACTGTGGGGGATGGACTGGTAGGAGGAATAGAAGATTCCATTATTAGCTGAGGGCAGGATAGGCTTCCCTGAAGAGATAGGTATTCAGAGATCGCCTAAAAGTGAGCAGAGTAGGCGATAGTTGGATAGATTGGGGTAGAGAGTTCCAGAGGATGGGGGAAGCACTGGAGAAGTCCTGGAGATGAGCATGGGAGGAGGAGACAAGGGAGCTAGAGAGCAGGAGGTTGTGGGAGGAGCAGAGAGTAAGGGTGATATTTGGAGACAAGATTTGGTGATGTAATTTGGGGCGAAGTTATAAATGGCTTTATTTATTTATTTATATATCGCTGTCAATTTACTCCGCACTTTACATATATATGTACATTCACATCAGTCCCTAACCCTCAAGGGGTGTACAATCTAAGGTCCCTAACCCTCAAGGGGCGTACAATCTAAGGTCCCTAACTCACATTCATACATACACATACTAGGGACAATTTAGACAGGAGCCAATTCACCTACCAGCAGGTCTTTGGAGTGATGTAATTTGGGGCGGAGTTATAAATGGCTTTATATGTTATTGTTACTGTTTTGAATTATATTGGTTGGGCAATGGGAAGCCAGTGGAGGGATTGGCAGAGAGGGGTGGAGGACACTGAGTGGAGGCCAGTGGAGGGATTGGCTGAGAGGGGTGGAGGACACTGAATGGAGGCCAGAGGAGGGATTGGCAGAGAGGGGT